AAAACCAATCACTTTGATAATAGCAAAAATATCATAAGATGAGGTAACATACGCAGGAGATTATTGGCTGTAACTAGAAAGTCAAGTAAAGCGTACAACTGGTACAAGTAACTTTTCATCACTTTAAATTCCTGGCCTTAACGCTTGTTTCCAGGTAGTTAACGCTGAGATCAGCGATCCCTACTATCGTGACCAAAATAGTGAATTATAGATTACTTGCAACAGGTGTCTTTTAGAAAAACTCTAACTTAACCTGCTAGGTAAATATCGTGACACAATGTTTTGCCAATTTCCTAATATTGCCAATTTAAACAATAACTAACTGATTTGTTTCCTTAAACAATTTTGATGAATTTTCTCCCGTTACACAAGGGGTTTATTAGGGTGGCTAGCTACCTCCATTTTAGTAAAAAATATTGAAATTATGAGAGCCAATAAATCTGATTGGGAGTCATTCTGAATAAAAACAATCATTTTCGTCAGCCCTAAATCTATCCATTTCAATACTTTTTTTTTGGAGTTTGCAAACACCCTTCATATAAGGTTCTGGGTCCGCCACTGAATGATCACAAATGTATCAGTCAATCAAGTAGTCAGTTGTCCAATCAACGACATCACTGCGCAAAAGAACTAACTTCGTTTTTCTTACCTCGGGTGTATATATGTAGGTTGCCGTAAAAACACCTGATATACAGCCTCGAACACCAAATATAAATGCTACCATCCATGCCCTTTAAAATAGTAAACAAACAAATTAAAGGCCGATAACCTTTACGCTTGCTTGAAATTTCTTTTTTTTGTATTTTTTTATAAAATTCTGCAGTTGAAATTTGCTTTCCAATTGGTTGAATCTAAAGATGGCTATTTTTCGTATGTGAGAAAATCACGCAAAGATTATCGGATGAACGCAGGCAGCACATGGATCTTATAGCTAATAGAACGATTTCACATAACCGGATAAAAAATGCTAATGAGGATCAATTTATGCTAATACACATTACACGATTTTACACGTGGAACAACGAGGATATTGATGAACGCTTTACTTATTTGACGAACAGATATGTTTTAAATAACAATTAAATCATAACAAACATCCAAAATCACACTCAAGATTTTTCTTCACGGAATCCTTTCTCGTCTTCTTGGCTGCATATTTCATTTCTAACTCTTGTGTTGAATTATCGTCTGGTTCTGGTCGTTCTGTCACAATTTCGACACCGAATTGATTTGCACTGTGCTGTGGTGTGTACTGGATCAGATGTGGCCTTTTTGATTATCCCTTTCAGTCTCGTGATTAATTGCTCATTATCACTCTCAAAGTAAAACTGAACAACTCGATCTGGGAGGTCAGTGTTGACTATCGTTGCCTTGCACATCTCAGTCATTCCCCTTGCATTTCTAAGACAAACATGCGCTCAAGCTCGCTGACGTAACTCTCTTGAGCTTTAACAAAACGACAACATAAGCAGCCAAAACTTCACAAATAAAACATTTGTTTGCTTTTACAAACATTCCAACGTACACGCTAAGGAAAAACACTTCGTAACGCGAAAAAAGTCAAAACATTTTTGTGTCTAGTTTTTGCAAACAAGGACAACAATTTAATACAAGCTTTTCTGATCGTGTAATATGTATTAGCATAAATTGACCCTCATTAGCATTTTTTATCCGGTTATGTGAAATCGTTCTAATGTGCAGCGGAACAAATTGTTTATAGAACAAGGCACGACGGGAAATGTAGTCCTTGAAATTTATCATGCAAGTCCGCATTCATAATCTCTAATACAACTCCTTTAAAAGCTACTTACATTTAGCAAAGAATATACGAAACGGATTCAATGCGAAGATGACCAAACGGACATAAAAAAGCGCACGGACAACCCACATTTTCCGTCATTCTTTGTTCTTTGTTCGAGAAAATCGGGCGTCACACGTAATGCTTATCTTATTTATAAACATTAATGTAAAATAAATACCTTGAAGTGCAAATAAACAGCAGGATGAAAAAAAAGGCAGTTAGGCTGTATAGAGTTGCTAGAGTCTTTTTTCTTCCTAGTTTTTCCAACAAGATGACATTCAAAACCACAACTAATTGAGAAGAGGAAAACTGAATTACTTTTTACCACTTATCGTTATTTTCTCATAACGCTGGCATGAAACTGTCTCTCTATAAGGCCGAATTAGACAACCACAACTTTAGCCAACAGCCATTTCATGCAACCTGTTAAAGTCATCCTGACAACATGGCTACGGCTGTCGTGGGGATTTACAACAATTACTTATTAGCCCTACAACGGTTGTAGCTATGTTGTAACGATGACTTAAGCAGGTTGCATGCAATGTTTTCAGGCAAAAGTTGCGTCGTCTAGTTCGGCCTTATTGAGTCCAAAGGCTCAAGTCTTCGTCCCAAACTCTCACGGAGTGGCTAGGAACGCCTGGCTATGCAGGCTATGCAGTCCCTGAATTTATGCTAATAAGTCTGTTTACCACAACAACATAAACAAAGCGAAAAAAAAACAGCAACAACGGTAACAAAGTAATGAATTGAAATTTATCAGACAATTGAGTGAGAAGAACAAGCCAACACAAATTAGAGTGCTTTGTATTTCGTAGCCTGAGTTTCATGAAGCGTTTTAGAGAATAAACCGGATGTACTAGTTTTTCGTGGAGGGGAAGATTTTCATTCGTATTTTTAAATTCTAAAAATTGATTTCAAAAATTAAAATGTAAAAATTTAACATTTTAAAAACTTCTTTTTGATTTTTATGCTTACTAAGTCAGCACACCAATAGACTACGTCATTGAAATTGTTTTTAAACTTATCCAGAATGTATTTGATAGACTTACTTGGTACTTCAGAGACTGTTGTCCACATCATGTCAGTGTAGTCTGATGTTGTGAGTAGTTTACATCCACAATGTGGGTTCTTTACGTTTCCTGTTCCAGCTGGAAGTTAAACAAAACAAATCATTAATCGACGCGAAATTAAGGGACCATTTTTCAGTCAACTTCACAAACAACTGAAATTATTTTATGAATTAATAATTTTCGCTAATAATGATTTATTTACTATTATAGTAAGATCGATTGATTGATATTGACAATGGTTGTCCCTGTTTGATTGAAAACCATTACCATTCAAAAATATCTTAAACTTTTCAGGATATCTGTCCCCTCTCCCTCCCCTCCCCCTTATCTCTTTTCCAACGACCACTACCCATCAGCCATCACGTTCTAGATATTCCGTTTCCTGGAAGTCATAAGTTCTAAAGGCTTGCATCAAACTTACCGAACGTTTGTTTTATATTTTTTTGCATCTTATCATGGCGGAGATAAAAGATTCAAGCTGGCAAACTCAATTTTATACACTTAGAGAGCGAGTTGAATATGCATTCAACAATTCGCTGTTCTGTGATATCGAGTTTATTGTTGAAGACTCGAACAACAAAGTTGCACTTTCAGCAAACAAATTCATTTTGTCTGTAAGCAGCCCCGTCTTTGAGACGATGTTTCAAGGGAAACTAGCAGAACAAGGACCGCAAATTCACCTACCCGACTGCACCAAAGATGGACTAAAAGAAATGCTTCGCTTTTTGCATTCCGATGTAGTTAACCTGACTGGAAGCAACGTCATGGAAGTACTTTATCTTGCCGATAAGTACATGCTGCCATTGCTTCAAGACAAATGCTATGAATATCTTGCTGACAATCTCACTCCAGATGATGTATTCACTGTTCTTCCCCAAGCTCAGCAATCGAACGACACCAGAGCAGAAGAATTATGCTGGAATGTTGTCGACTTTCAAACACACCAAGCCGTGACCTCAAAAGCTTTCTTGAATATCTCGCGTGACTTGTTGAGACAAGTTCTTGAGAGAGATACACTTCACACAGATGAAGTAAATCTATTTAAAGCTGTGGATTCGTGGGCATCTAATAGAATAGAGGAAGAAAGCAAGAAAGAAAATGGCGATGCAAAGAGAAGTGTACTTGGTGATGACATAGTTCATCTCATTAGATTCCCCATGATGACACCGAAGGAGTTTGCAGATGACGTCCTCGTCTCCGACATTCTTCGCGGAAGTGAAGTAACCGAAGTTGTTCAAATCTTCACATCGACAGCGCCTTCGCAGACTTCATTCAAAAGGGTTAAACGAATTGGTCAATGGAATGAGATGTGGACGGAGAATCGATTTGATGCCGTTGATACAAAGTATTGTGGGGGTCAACAAAATCACACTATACTGTTTGAAGTTAACAAACCGATCTTCCTCGCAGGAATTCGATTATTTGCTGTTCAAAGTGAGTCGTGCACAAAGCTGGAGAGTAAACTGTCAGTGCAAAACGTTAAATGCAAATCTAAGCTATTTCAAACAGACGTTTCGTCGAACGTTAAGCAGACCATTGATGGATTACAGTACAGTGGACAATCCGTAACAATATCGCCTCCCATTCTTTTGCTTTCTAAAGAAAAGTACTCGATCACTTATTCAGCAAATGTTTCCTTTGAGCAAGCGTGCCGTAAAGCGGACAAAAGAAGTATCATTCGACGTGAACCAGCCCCTCTTTTTGGCCAATCTGCAAACCTAAGAGAGCCTTTGAAGCAGCCGAGTTCTCCTCAGACAGTGTCAAACTTTACGTCTTATCTGGGTAGTGGTGGCAAAAGTGTAGTTCACTGCGATGATATCAAAATAACATTTATGAATTCTGAAGAATCCAATCCTGGTACCACTACTGAATACGGACAGTTCCCTTCGCTTCTTCTTAAACGGAGAATACTATTGAAAAAAGATCCAGTGCCTCTACTTCAATTTGGAAAGAGCAGTAAAGGTGGTTTCGATTTTTGGAGCGGGAAGAGTAGTGCTAGTGATCTGTTTGGAGGAACCAGCAACACTTGTTTAGATCCCCAGAGCTCGGCTTCACCGGTTGTCTCTGAGGAAGGGGACTAGGAAGCTCCAATCTCAAATTTAAATTTCTAGTTTTGCATCGTTTGATTGCAATTGATCTATATCTTAAAAAAAGACTTTTCAGTTCGCAGTCCTATTACCGAGTTATAACTTAAAGTAAAAGTTAACGTACAATGACCGTTAGAGGTACACATGCTTGAACAACAATCCACTTTTATCTTAATTTCATTTATTCAGACCGGAACTGATTCATGACGCGTGTGTGCAACCTGTTTCCGTAAGCTTTCCGCAATAATTTTGCGGATACAATAACTCCAGGCTCCGTACACAACGCCCATACGCATAATGAAACAGGTGGTCCATTGTAAGTTAACATCGATCTAGAGAGATTTGTAGAGCTCCTACTGTAGTTGATGACCACGAAATTGAATAAAGTTTGTTAAATCACGGATTGGCCGATTCATATGTTTTAATACATTGTGATTCTGTAGTTACATCATCATCAGTCTTCTCAGTGGCCGATCAAGAAAGCAGGGGAGATTAACAAAGATAACGAATGGATAGATTTAGCGCTTCGGAAAATGACATCTCTTGAAGATGAACGCTGCTTTAGTTGTTTTTCCAAATAATTGTTTTTTTAATATTTATATCATATTTCATCTATTTTTGGACCCTAAAAAAAGATCCAAAAAAAGATCCGCCCATATTTCTGTATCGCTGTACTGTAATGTAAGTAGTATGAATGCAGATCCACAGTATTGTAGGTAATATATAAATAATAATAATAATTTATTAACTTATATAGCGCCACTATTATAAAATATTCAGTAGCGCTTTACAATTAAAATTAAGAACTATGTAATAAAATGTATAAATAGAATAAATTCTTAGAAGTTGTGTTGAAAATTGGAAAAACCTAATATTAACGTTCAAAAGCCTTTTTAAATAGAAAAGTCTTTAGTCTACTTTTAAAAACACATATAGTGACACTGTTCTTGACGTATGGAGGCAAATTGTTCCAAATCTTTGGCGCTGCAGCAGCAAACGCACGATCTCCAAACATTTTGCAACTTGGTGCGGGGAATCTTCAATTGGTTTTGGCTGTCGCTGCGCAATGCGTAGCGACCCAGTGCCTTTGCTTGCAGTAGGTCACTCAGATAGGGGGGAGCCATACCGTTTAGTGCCTTGTAAACTAGAAGGGCGATCTTGAATTCCACCCTAAAAGCAACAGGGAGCCAGTGAAGATMTCTCAGAACARGTGTGATGTGCGCATATCGTGGAACGAAGCAGACAACACGAGCAGCAGCATTCAACACTTTCTGTAGACGGTCTATTTGATACTGTGAAACCCCATACAGTAAGGAGTTACWGTAGTCCAAGTGTGAAGTTACGAACGCGTRAATAAGCGTTTTGGTAGACTCTTCTGAAAGAAATTTCSTAATCTGCCTAATTTTGTAGAGCCCRTGGAAGGCTTTGCTGCATACTTTTCCGATGTGGACGTTCATGGACATCGACTTATCAAACCAAGCTCCTAAATTACRAACAGAGTTGGCTGCCTTGATCTCTGAAGAGCCCACATGGATCTTACTGATGTTAAGACAAATTGACAAATAGACAAATTGCAATAATACACAAAACTAAGCAATTTTAAAAACTCGAAATGTGAAAAAGTGCTGGATTCTCAAAATTTGGAATTCAGTTTGAGGGCAATTAAGGACGTTAAAGGTTAAATAGGCTTTGAAAAAGTGAGGCATCTCTTGTAAATCTGGTCAATAATATTTTAGAGAGTACCCAACTGCAAAATCGTTTTTTTCCAAGAAAAGACCTTAAAATTAATTTAAGAATTCAAGAATTGATTAAACTGAACACCAAAAGCTTCAAGTGGAGCGGAAACGATGATTTAAAAAAAAACCCTTGCAGACAAACTAAAGAAAATTCGTGCAGAAAGATTTTTTTACGTGCGACATCAGGTGCGGATCAAGGAATTAAACTGTTATAGGGAAAGAGGGGGGAAGATGATTTGGTCGGTGCAGGAAATTTTGTTTAGACACTAAGTTTTCGACGAAATTTATTTGGTAAAATTGCAAAGATTTTGCTGAAAATTTCGCCCTTTAGGTCGGTGTTTCCGAGCAAACGCTGGATGAAACTCAAGCTAAAGTTTGGTTTGCTGTCTCATTTTCGTTTTTGTCCACCAATCATGCATGCTGTTTCCAAAATTCCTCTCCCTTCCTCCCCTCCCCCTAATCTCTTTTCCAATGACCACACCCCTTACTACCCATCAGCCTTCACGATCTATATATCTCGTTTCCGGGAAGTCCAATTCTGAAGGCGTGCATCAAACCTACCAAACGTTTGATTTATCATTTTTGTATCTTATCATGGCTGACAAAGAAGACTCGAGCTGGCAAACTCAATTTTATACTCTTAGAGAGCGAGTTGAATATGCATTCAACAATTCGCTGTTCTGTGATATCGAGTTTACTGTTGAAGACTCGAATGGAGACAAAGTTGCACTTTCAGCAAACAAATTCGTATTGTCTGTAAGCAGCCCCGTATTTGAGACGATGTTTCAAGGGAAACTGGCAGAACAAGGACCGCAAATTCACCTACCCGACTGCACCAAAGATGGACTACAAGAAATGCTTCGTTTTGTGCATTCCGAAGTAGTTAACCTGACTGGAAGCAACGTCATGGAAGTACTTTATCTCGCAAGTAAGTACATGCTGCCATTGCTTCAAGACAAATGCTATGAATATCTTGCTGAAAATCTCACTCCAGATGATGCATTCACGGCTCTCACCCAAGCTCAACAATTAAACAACGCCAGAGCAGAAGAATTATGCTGGAATGTTGTCGACTTTCAGACACACCAAGCCGTGACCTCAAAAGCTTTCTTGAATATCTCGCGTTACTTGCTGAGACAAGTTCTTGAAAGAGAAACACTTCACACAGATGAAGTAATTCTCTTTAGAGCTGTTAATACGTGGGCAACTAACAGAATAGAGGAAGAAAGCAAGAAAGAAATTGGCGATGCAAAGAGAAGTGTACTTGGTGATGACATAGTTCATCTCATTAGATTTCCACTGATGACAAACACGGAATTTGCAGATGAGGTGATTGTTAGTGGCATACTACATGAAAGTGAGGTAATAGAAGTTTTACGGATCTTCACATCAACAGCGCCATCACAAATCTTGTTCGAGGGAGATTACAGAAGCGGCCAGTGGAATGAGATGTGGACGGTGAATCGATTTGATGCCGTTGATACAAAGTATTGTGGGGGTCAACAAAATCACACTATACTGTTTGAAGTTAACAAACCAATCTTCCTCGCAGGAATTCGACTATTTGCTGTTCAAAGCGAGTCGGGCTCAATGCTGGAGACTAAACTATCAGTGCAAAACGTTCAATGTAAATCTAATCTATTCCAAACAGACGTCTCGCCGAACGTTAAGAAAACCATTGATGGCTTGTACTGTGGACATTCCATAACAATATCGCCTCCCATTCTATTACTTTCTAAAGAAAAGTACTCGATCACATATACAGCAAATGTTCAACCTCTTTCAACTTCGGTCCTTACTCCATCGTTATGGAATTTAACAACTACCCAGCCATCTACCACCCACTCCATACTCGGATACGGTTCTTCTGCCCCCACAGGAGGTACATTCGGTTCTTCTGTCCCCACAGGAGGTACATTCGTTTCTTCTGTCCCCACAGGAGGTTTATTCGGTTCTCCTGCCCCCACAGGAGGTGCATCCGGTTCTTCTGTCTCCAAGGGAGGTACATTCGGTTCTCCTGTCCCCACAGGAGGTTTATTCGGTTCTCCTGTCCCCACAGGAGGTACATTCGTTTCTTCTGTCCCCACAGGAGTTACATCC